AGTGACGAATCAAAAGTATCGTGAGTGCGTATTATGATGTATGCACAGGTATACATGGATTAGAGCGATAGAGGAAAGAGAAAGGAAAGAGCAAAGACGAGCGCTTAAAAAGAAGGATAGGCAGGGTCAGATCCTCAATATGTGAGGATTCTCCAACGATAGACGTGTACGTGTGCTGATCTTTGTAATTATAAATTGTGAATATATGTGACTAATATTATTTTCTTTTTTATTTTGTGCATGTTACAAGTTATAAATAAATATAAACAAACAACACTAACTCGATAACATTAAATCTAAATACCAAAATGATTAATTTACTGTGTTTTTGTTATTTATTACTCCTATTTTTAGGTATTGGCCGAATAGTGATTAAATATTCGGTATTCGGCCGAATTGTGAAAAATAGGCTGAATACCGAATAGTAACCGAATATTCGTTACATCACTAATGAATACATATTTGTTGGTCTGATGGATTAGTTGCCTGCCACTGATTAGTCATATAATTTTAACTAACTTTAACTCATAATTGAAATTTAAAATTAGCAAATAACTGTCCTCATTGCATAACATGCACCTCCTTTCAAACACAGATAACCCACAGATTATTCACCTGAAATTATAATAGTATATTACTATCATATTCTATTTGGCACTATAAGCAGATATGTAAAATTCCAAACAGTTAAACATAACAAAATCTACACTCAAAAGAAAGAATAATTGAAGCATGCAAAGCCATAATGTAAATTCCAAAAAAAAAAATTTTTCAGGAGAGGTAAAAACACTTTCTAGTGAATGTATTCATTTCAATTTTACAATAAAATGGTAAAAAACTCACTAAGTTACAAAGTTACAAATGCTCTGGAATATCAAAATGATGTAAATATAAGCTGTAACATTTTAGGCACCAATACTCACATGACTTGCACTTTGTCACTTTAAACATTATGGCTTCACATAAATTCAACTTCCACTTACAGTGCCAATATCACCACAATATTTTTTTGCAGCAGAAAACATTACGTTTAGAATTCAATTCTTCAATAAAATGTATTTAGAGAAAAATGGCATTTACAACATTATGGCATTACACACATCAATTACTAAAATTTTTTCTCTTAAACTTGACTGCTGAGATACATTTATTTGCTTATACACTAATGTTTGATTGAACATACACAAGTTGAACATATTTTGCATTTTTTATCTACCTAAAAGCAGATAATGAAAGTTCAGTTTCAAAAAAGATTGCCTATATTCATCACTGAACCGGTCATTACTTAATTTTTATTATTAAAGATTCAGAATAATAAAGTACGATTACATAATTATTACATATAAATTTATTAGTGTAATTCACTACTTATTTTCAGCAACATTATCTGGAAACATGGTTAATTACTTGACAGTTTATTATTGGACCTATTAAGAATCACATCAAAAATAATGCTTTTAAATTTCAAACAAAATAATTAATCAAGAAAATGCTCTTTAAATAAAAAGTTATCACTGAACAGGCAGTCAAGTTATTGGAAGATTGTAATTTTGAAGCTGGAAAAAAAAATAAACAGTTAAGTAATGTTTTTAAACCAGTACAAACAGTGTTGAAAGACAAGACATATTCAATGAACATTCTTATTTGTTAAGTAACATATGTCATAGTTAAGTAACAATGAACTTGTTCCTGTTAAACTCATGAACAAAAGTCATCTTTCACAGAAAGATTCATCTGAATTTTCTAAGTAGCAGGAAGTTCTAGAAACAGTTCAGTTAACAATGGTAAAGACTTGAGTAAAGAGAAAGAATATGATATTACTGATAATGTTAAAAAGATTAATTATAATCCAGGAGAAGATTCAGATTTAAGCAGCAGCACAGAATGTGAAGGTATTGACGACTTTTCAGATTTTTATCAGTGAGAATAATTCCATTATTAAGGAAGATGAGGGGCATAATGAAAACACTTCACAGTTTGAAAATATTAGTAGTATTAGGGATCTGTTAAAACTATCCAAGAAGATAGCAGCAGTGGAGATGACAAGGGTGGAAACAATGTAGCCAGTCAAGATGGAAAAAAAAAAACTCAAAAAAGTGTATCAACACCTGCAAATTGGGTTAAAAATTAATGAGATGAACATAGAAATCTAGGTTTGAAATATACAAATTTACAGGGAAAAACAGTTTAACATTGAAAATTGGATCCCGTTGCCAGGACAACTGCAAACGAAAGTGCAGACTAAATTTACAGATAAGAACAGTAAGGAGATTTTTGATGCATGTTGGAGAACCGAAAACTACAGTCATCAGAGAGATTTCATAGCAAGTTATGTTTCCAACTGACACATCAAACAACAACTCTCTCTTCTCAATGATCTGCTTCATTGTTCTACTATCGCTCATTGGCAAAAGATGTCTGAAAGGTTTTCTTTTTTAAATATCGTTGGCATTTCAAAACTTCTGTATATTCTACAAAAAATGTTGTAAGATATAAAACTAATATCAACAATGTTGTAAAATGACAATATGACACATTATTGCACATGCACTTTTGTGGTTGTCATTCTTGTGATGTGATAAGAGCATACAGATATTCAATTCATCAATATCAAAATATTGAAAACTTGCACTGACCATCAATAATCAACTCAAGTCTAGGTCTTGATAATAAATGCACCTAAACCAAGGGTGGACAACCTTTTTGTGTTGTGTGTGTGTGTGTCAAAATCACCAAATCTATGATCAAAATTTTCTCATATCAGAAAAAAGTCATTGGCATTTGTGGAAAGATTTGTCCAACTCTGATCAAGACAATCATGTCTTCTTTATGCTTTTTAATTGTTGATAGTCTGAAATATTGAAGACTTTTCAACCATATTGAACATACCTGGATTCCTTAATAAGTTACTTGTTTGACAGTAAAGAAATACCATACAGAGACTTTCTGTTTTATAAAAGACAATGACTAGTAGCCATATAACATTATCAAACAAACAAATAAAAATAAAAGAACTGAAATAAAAATGTTTTAAATGATTTAAGCATGAAAATATTTTCAGAGAGCTATAATCCAATTTTTTCTATAAGACAATATAAAAATTCTTTTTCTTTTTTACATTTTGTCCAAACTTCATTTCTTAAGACAAATTTTTCGGTAAAGGATATTTGTACTTATATCTTATACACGTACTTTATTTAATCCCCGTTATATTCTTTTGTATTTTATTTTGATTTCATATTATTTTTCTTCAACATTTTTTTTACACACGCTACCAACAGCAAGTGTTTAACGATTTCTAATTTATTTAAATTTTGTTTTTTTTTAATTTTATTCTAAGTAACATTCCTGTTGAAAAAGTTTGTTTTCATAATAAATTTGTTCAAATTAACTGGATTAAAGGTGATAGTTGCTGCTTTTATTGTAGAAGTTATCTTTAAGTAGCATACTTTGTAGTACAGTACATATCTATAATATAATTGAGATGGGTTGATGATAATAATAATAAGTGCAGAGCCCAAACGGTTAGGAGTTGGAAGCTGAAATTTGGTACACAGTTAGGGTACGTCACGAAAACGCACACTAAGAAGGGATTTTTCGAAATTCCTCCCGGGGGGAGAAAGACAGGATTAAGGCTTAACACTTCCATCAACAATGGAAGTGTTAAGTAACAATGGCGGTGTTAGGTAACAATGGAAGTGCTAAGTAACAATGGAAGT